CTAACATCGCACTTTGAATGATATCGAGAATAAAATATATTACATTATTGAACGCCACATAATTGGAAATTATTATTAAGCATGTGACAAGCAGCGTCGGTGGCATAGTGGTTAGGACGCTGGCCGACCATGTGCATGGTTCGGGGTTCGATCCCCGGCCACTGGACGCACTCTTTTACCTTGCTAAGCCAGAAATAATGCTGATAAAGAGGAAAGTTTGGGCATGAGGCTAGCAACCCCATCCTGTAAAATAAACACTGCTACAGAAACTTCAAGCCACTAGCTTGAAGCCCTATGTTCCACTGGGGAACGTGAAGGAAAAAAATTTGCCTCTTCTATGTGTATCTACTGATATGACTATATCTGCGGAGCCAGCTACATTGGGCATACAATTGGGCTTTCCTTTCATCATCGTATTTCCGAACATCATTCGGTATGGTTAAGCAAGGGACAAAGAAGATCTATTCGTAGCTCTATTTTAGCACACCTTGTAGATACTGAGCATAAAGTTTATGTTAATACTGCATTTAAAATTATTTATCGTATTCCGACTAATCCTAATTTTGCTCTACGGGTTCGTCTTCTACAGACAGTGGAAGCAGTAGGAATCCATTTAAAGAAGCCAAACCCATGTGTCCAGAAAAAATTTGTACAGCCACTTCCCTTACAGTGGCCATCGTTACATGAATGCATAAACTGGACTACTTCGCCCCCCTCCCCCTAAACATTAAAAAACTATAAAAATTATAATTGTCCAAATTATTTTATTATTGTTTTTTCTGACCACTTCATCTTTAACTACATGTTATCCTTGTAAAATTGATTTATTCTAACCATTTCTACCTTTTAAATGTGTATTGATTTTCTTCGTTAATTATCAACCCATTGACATTTTGACACTGACATATCGGTGCCACTTACTTGATTGGTAAACTGTTGTGCAATGTAATAAAAATGCTATATGTGTATATTAGAGTAGAGCCAGAGAGAGATGAGGATCTAATTAAAAAGTAAATATTTCTTCGCCCAATCTTTCTGTTTTCTAAAAAAAATATGACAAGTAGCTAGAATAATTGATAATTGAACACCTGGCCTCGACAAAAATTGATATGATTATGAACAATAAATTGTGTTCGAAACGTCATCCAGTATACAATACTGTTTCACTGTGTGATACATTTAATGATCAAACTAATATGGAATTACCTCTATTTTTACGTCTACAATTCAGGGGGAGATACTCCTATGGAGATTCTATCGCAACATTTAACCAGGGCAATGAAGAAAACTTTCTACTCTGCACGCCTGTGTCTATCCTTCACTAGCCACCCAATGTTCACCCAGCAACTCAAAGATGTCTTACCTAACCTTAGCTCTTCTTCATGCATATACCATTTCAACTGTTCCTGTGGTTCAATTTACATAGGGCTGAAGATTGGGCAGGTTCGAGAACATTTACCAGCTTGGTTCAGTTGGCGGGAAATTAAGTGCATAAAAAGCTCAATCCTGTCACACTTGGTCGATACTGGACATAGCATCATCTTTTTTTTGAATAATAGCTGGATCTCTGGCAATAAGATCGACTAAACTGGAACTCTCTATCCCGAAAGAACACGTCCAGATGCTATTCCTACGGCTGCCAAACTAAGATTGATGATTCTTCTCACCAGGACTGATTCTTTTCCTTAACCGTATTGTTCTTTTTTTCTTTCTTTGCTCATTATTATAATTATTATTGTTATTATTCGTCATGCTTTATACCCTTACATGCAAACATTCTTTCAATATTATCGAATTTTCCATTTATACTATCTGGACTTATTATTAGTGATATTACCTCTTTTCTCAATATATGCCTCCATCTGTCTCATTTCAAACCTTTGTTATTTCATTATGAACCTCTCATTGCAGTCTTACTATCTCGTGTTTAATACAGACCACTTTGTACTGGCTACTCCACTCATCTGACACTTTTTATAACATTGCACTGACTTGTCAACTTTTCTATCCCACACTCTAGAAATCTATTATAACTGATCACCACCACTGTCGCCTATTTCACAATATTTTGTCATCGATTTCAGCCTAGCACGTTTGTCACACAATTACGACTATTTATTTTGACACCTCATAACTAATCTGTTATTCTAAGTTTAAAAAAATGTATCCGCTGCATAACTGGTCATTATTGTAACAACAACATACAGTATATTTTATAATTGTAAGAACCTGAAAAGGAGAAATTATTGAAAAGAATATTCTTCGTTCAGATTGACTTTTAATTGGTTGTAGGATTTCATCATGAGCTGAAATCAGTTAGAAAACCATTGGAAAACCGACAAGGAGTACTGGACAGCTGTTTCGTCGGCTTGGTTTGGGACTATTCATCATTACACACCCACCTCACTGTTAGGTTCGAACCCACAGCCTTCTGGTTACAAGGTGAGCTAGCTCGTGGACCATTAACCAGCCACCGGGACCCGATTCAGTGGCCAGCCCATGAATTCTAACTTTTACCAGCCAATTCATGGCATAGCCTAACCACTTCGAAATGTCTCCTCCGATGAGTTACTGCCTCACCTTCACAACCTGCTGCACTGTATTGTACTAGTCACGGTTTCCCACTAGAATCCCAGAGAACTGCCTGAAAAAGGGCCAGTCACTAGTGAGTATCTTAACTGTCTTCTTTTTATTGGTTCTGCTAGTGATTCGTATGCTTACAGATGTATGTGTACGCAAATTATTCTCCATAAATAAAACATTACAGACATTAGAAACCAATTCACTTTATACAATGTGTTCCCTTGATCCTTGTTAACCCCCCCCCTTGAGTGTTTGCAAAATTAAATTCGTTCCTTCTCTATTGAAATTCAAAACAAAAAGTTTAACCAATCGGCTAGGATATGCGTCATGTAAACTGACTGCTTAGGGTAGGCAGGTAGGTAGGTGGGTAGGTACAGGGGACAGAGTGAATTACTCACTCTTCGTTTATTCATCACATAAGATAAGATAAACACAGATTTCATTTCCACTCTGTGTTATGACGCAATAACTAATTCTGGATGAGGGAGACAGAGAGAGAGAGAGAAGGAGAACTCAATCGATCTAAACATTATAAAACCTCTTTTTAAATTAATGTGTTACATAAAAGTGAATCATTGGATTTATTTTTGTTAAACCTTTGTTTGTTTTTTATTACATCTAAAGTAAGTCAGTTTCTTTTAAATTAATTTAATATATATTTGTCCCAAATGTTGGTTTGCAGGGATTCGATTTGATTTGACTAGTTTCAGCATTTCATCATGAACTGACATCGGTGTGAGGACTAATGTTCTCCAGTGTTGACATTAGCTAGTGCCAGTCAGGCCATATTATGAATTAGCAGAAGTTGCAATTCATGGACCAATTGTTCCAAACCCAGTGGCTTAATGGTCAGTAAGTTTGCTAGCGTTGTAATCAGAAGCTCCTGGTTTCAAACCTGGCAGTTGGGTGGGTGCGAACTGATGAAGAGTCCCAGGCTCAAAGGAAACAGCTAGCCAGTACTCCCTGTTGGTTTTCCAATGGTTCGCTAACCGATGTCAGTTCATGGTGAAATATTTGTCACAAATTTGGATATCATTTAGAGAATCACTGGAAAACAGCGGGGAGTACTGGACAGCTGTTTTGTCCTAGTTTGGGACTCTTCAGAATTGCTTAACCATGAGACTACCCTTATCACTTAGTGACAAGACCTGGAACCTCCAGGCTACTATGTTAAACTCGTTGGCCATTTTGCCATTTGGAAAGGAATTTAGACTTATGCTGACCAATATATTGAGAAAAAGCCAGCTCATTGCTGATTACTATAGATAGATGTCATGGAGTCAGTGGGGCTCACCACTTCAAGCTGAAGTAAATACTCACGAAAGGCATTAGTTGACGGTAGCTCTATATTACAAGGTTGAATGGTTAGAATCATAAGTCACTGAATTCCAGTCGAAGGAGGGTGATGGGATGACTAATGAACTTAACCTCGTAACCTAGAGGTTCCAGATTCGATCCTCGATGGGATCGTGCACTGATGAAGGTTCTCGAAATAGGATCAAAAAACTGTTCAACAATCCAAGTTTATCTGTGGTTCTCTCCCAATCGTCGTGATCAATGAACTTGACCTCATAACCTGAGAGTGCTGAATTCGATCCCAACAGGGTCAAGGCTGCTCATTGCTGAACGGTCCTTAATGATTTTATTGAATTTTAGATTTTCCGGTCGATTGACTGCGCCGAAGTGCTCGGTCTCAGATTGATACGTCGGCTTCTTGAGCAGATGCTTCGATGATGTCTGGGCAGTTAATTAGTATACAACAGGTGAATAATGACTGGCAATGGAATCCAGGATAACATGCATTTCGTCCTATTTGGGACTCGTCAGCTGGATGTACCTGCATTTCTCAGTGAGTGATGATGTTCCCACCACCGAGGCTCGAACCCAGTGCCCATAGTTTCAAACGCCAAAGCGTTATCCACTAGACCAGTTAGGCCAAGAGAGCTGGACACCTCCTGCGCAACGGGTCATGTTAATTATTTAATTCAATTTTAGATTTTCCCGTCGATTGATTGGACCGAAGCGCTCATTCTCAGGTACATCCAGATGACGAATCCCAAATAGGACGAAATGCCCATCCTGGATTCCACTGCTAGTCACCATCCACCGATTAAAGTCCTTAATGATGATACAACAGCTGTCTAGCACTCCATACTCCTGAGTGGCTCTCAGGATTATATTATATATATAAATTTCAGTATTTGAAATGACGGATGTTGGCCTTGTGTCTCAGCAGGAACTCTGTTAGTCATTCGTTGGTGATCTAGCTACATAAGTTGACGAGTCCCAAAAGGGACGAAACGCATACCTTTCAAACTGTAATCATATGAATAAAATCGAAATAATTCTTAAAATTCTGTATTTCCTTTTTCATTTATACAGATTTTTATAATTCGCAGATATCATTTTACAAACAAATGAAAGACTATACCATTGATTATCCAATGCATATAATAAAACGACAGAAAGCTAATGAAAGAGAACGAGCTAGAATGCATGCGTTGAATGATACTCTGAAACAGCTAAGAACTTTATTACCAAATAGTATGTCTGATTCAGGCAAACTTAGTAAAATTCAAACGCTTAGGGTAAGTTGAATTATTTGTAATTTTTAAAAAGAAATTACTTACATCTTAACATGACCTTGATTGATTGATTGACTGATTGATCGATTAACTGACTGACTAAGTAATTGATCGATTGTCTCAAGGCCAATCATTGCAATAAACTGAAGTGATTGATACACTAGGAAATTATAGGGATAAAACTATTCAGGAAACTCAGTTTATCGACAAAATCTATATATCAGATTTGAACAAAGCAAAAACGTCAAATGTGTACTTGGAGATAATATGAGCTCATCTTTATAATAATAAAGGTTTTTTGTATTTCCCAATGAATGAAAAACAAAACATTGTTGTTTTTACTGACGGTTCGCTATTTAATGCCGCTAATAGCTTTACCAAAGTATTATTAAACCGGAATTTACAAAATCCACTCAGCATATATATAACAAAGAGTCAAGGGGTGAGAAAATAGACTTAGGTCAAGTTAAAAGGACATATTGAAAGTCAAAATAGCAATGAAGATCACTAAACTAAATATCAAAGGTACATCTGTTATGATATCAAAACAAAGTTTACTAACTTGATCATCGTTCGTTAGTCTGGGGTCTTTATTTTGTTGTCAAGTTGGTAAATTGGTAAAGATAACAAAACCGGGTGTAGATTGTTGGATTCGATCAGTGTGTAAAATTATAAAAGTAGTGTATGTTTACATAGTGAACTTGCTTATCACATTTGTGTTGATTTTGTCACTTCATGGGAGAGAGAGGTGTTGTAACCAGGTCAGATTCTGTTTTAGTTCATCATTCCTATTCAGAAAATTTGGATTCCACTTGATATGAAGTGCTTCTGATATTAGACGTTCTTTGTGATTTCTGAAATAGTTTTTCTGGATTATTTCAATATTGTCAAAATCAATTTTGTGGCCTGATTCTATAGCGTATCGACCACCTATGACTGATGATTTTTCAAGTTTTTCTAGTTCAACTGGATTTCTCGGTGGTCGAAGAGATGCTTTAATGTGTTCACTTCTTCTGAATTCGATTTTACCGAGATATTTGTCCGTTGTACATCGCATCACATTCCAAGCATTTTATTTTATAGACACAATTAGATAGAGAATCCTTCGGGATTTGGTCTTTTATATGGACAAGATTGTTTCGTAGTGTGTCTGATGTTTTGAAGAAAACTCTAATGGCAAGCTGATTGAGTACTCTTCTCATATCGTCTGACGTCTCTGATCTATGTGGAGTGACGACTGTTGATGTCCATGTTTTCGGAATGCCTTTTCGGCCATACTTAATGTCTGTGTTGATTTCGTTGATGAAGTTCCTTGGGTAGTTGTTTTGTTTGAGAGTTTCATTAATGTTTGATATTTCTTCTTCTTTTTCTTTCTCATCCGTTATCAGAGAGTGTGCTCGGCTAAGAAGACTTGAAACAACTGAAATCTTTGCGCTGATGGGGTGTGGTGATTTTAAGTCTAAATATTTGTTGGAGTTGGTTTTCTTCCTGAATATGGATATACTAAAATGTCCGTTTTCCTTTCTCTTAACTAGGCAGTCTAGAAATGGTAGTTCACCGACGTCTGATTTTGCTTCCTTTATTATGATGAATGTCATATATCAGATGCCTAAATTTTTTCAAGCCTTTAAAAGTGAACTTGGTTTGGACATATCTGAGCTCATCTTTTATTAAATCCCAGATTTCTTTTCAACTGGTTACAACGTTTTCCCCGATGACAAGCGTTAATTGGTCGGAAATGACAGTAACATAAGTCAAGAATGATATAAGTTGTTGTTAAATAATTAAGAGTGAAAAGGATTGACTGTTTATAGGATAATTGGACGAGTAGGCTAGCAAATAAAGAGACACAGTCAAACAAATTCATGCTCACTAGCGACTGACCCTATTCAGGCAGCTCTCTGGTGTTCTGGTGGGAAGCCGTGACCACTACAATACAGTGCAGCAGGTTGTGAAGGTGAGACAGTAAACCATCGAAGAAGATATTTCGAAGTGGTCACGCTATATCATGAATTGGCTGGTAGAAGTTAGAATTCATGGGCTGGCCACTGGATTGGGTATTAGTGGCTTAATGGTCAGTCTACTAGTTAGTTCACCTTGTGACCAGAAGGTCCTGGGTTAGAACTGTGGCTGTAGTTGCGTACTGCTGAAGATTTACAAACCAGGCTGACGAAACAGCTGTCTAGTACTCCTTGTTGGTTTTCCAATGATTTTCTAACTGATTTCAGCTCATGATGAAATCCCCCAACCAAGTTCACTTTGGTTATAAACAAAGTTCAACTGGAAGGAGTATAACAGTAGAATAGGTTACCTAACTACAGAAAATATGCCTTTACAAAATAGTAGAAAAGAGTGTTAGGGCTAGTCATGTTTCCGGGAGACACTCAGAAATCTTCTGAGCAGGATAGAAGATGATGTGTTAAAATTATATACTTTTTTGATCACTAAGGTAGTGCAAGGTTCACACAGATTACGTCTTAATCGTTTGACGCCGATTGCCTCAGCAAAACATAACAATCAGGGTTTCTTTCGCCTGTTGATTACATAAAACACCTTCAGATTGTCCACAGTATGTGTCCAGTGTCCAAAAGATGGCAGGCAACCTCACTGTTTAATGCTAATATGAGCCTTTTAGTCTCAGAGTGCTCTTTGGTATATGTTCAGAAATACAGACAATAACCCTCTTGTCTGTTCTTCACATGCAGGCGGAAGTAACATGAGTTAGGAGTTTTTCCATTTTTGATTGTCTTGAATAACTTGTCGTTTGATAAACACATGCAAGCTTGGAGGTTGAATATTTTTTTTTAATTTTTGATTACAGCTTGATTCCACACTGTATTTTTGGTACAAGTATGCAATTTTCAGCATGGATATCGGTTGCCTGAATTTTACAGGCCGACCATAGATATCAGGTGTGCGTCGGCAGGGGATCGAACCTCGGACCATTTGCATGGTCGGCGAGAGTCCTAACCACTGTGCAATCGACACACAGTTCTTTTCAGAGCAGAGTTCAGTCTGCATCTTATTCTGCTAGCTGTATCGTCATCACTTTTGAAAGCAAGCTGTAAGAAGATAGAATTTTTCTCTGCTGTTCTACAACTCATTTTTTTCGACACTACGTTTCTTGTGTTTGCCGATAAACTTCTGTGAGTAACCATTATCATACAGGCATTTTTCTACAATGCATAGTTCTTCGTCGATCTTTTCTTCTGGGCAGAGTTTTTTTTACACGATCAAACAATGTACTCGCCAGTCCCCTTTTGTAACTTATAAGGTAGAAGCTTTTGCAGTTCAGATAAAGTGCCCTCCAGGTATCTCTTCTGTGGATATAACTTACGATTCTGTCTTTCATATCACATTGGAAACTTGTCCATATTTTTATACCTTAATGTAAACATTTTATATTAGGATGAACACTATTCAGGACGTCAAATATTTGAGATGAATCACTGAAATAATCACAAATTACGAGCATGTTATCGAAATACTTAGCATAGAAGTCTGTCTGACCAATAGCAGACTTCAGTCACGCTTGTTCTAGGTTGCCCCATCCTTTTAAATCTTAACTTTTTAACAAATTGCATCCTTCCGGATTTCCTTATCTCTTAGTTCCTACCGATTACTTCTTGTCATCGTGGAAGAAGTTGTAACCATTTGAACAGAATCCTCGAAATAATAAAACATAAACTCATATTATCCTAGTATCCTCGTAGGTTCAATTTAGTTTTAAGTGAATAGAACCTCAGCCAATGTTATCAATGGGAATCAGTTATGATGTCATAACTTCAGACCAGTTGTTAGATATTTATAGTCATTCAGTAGGATATTCTGTCTGGACGTGGGTTTTGTGCTTATTGGCACTCATTGACATGGCGTATCTGCAACTACCTTGAAGGAACTCATGTCTCTCCTGAGACTCAAACCCGGGTCATCCACTACTGCAGACAGAGGCTTTACCACTGATCTAGCTCATATGGCGGCTGACCTCCAGTTGGACACTTAATGTCGTGCGTCTAGTCTCGTTTAGACTAAATTCAATCAGTCTATCCATTAAGGTAGTTAGTGCTGTGCACACAGTTATACGCTTTTGTACTGCTTGGTTTGAAGAAATACTGTGAATATTTCAAAACTCACAATACACCTGTTTTAAAGATGTCTTTCATACAACAGGAGCATCTGTTGAGGTGTCTGCTATACCATACACGAAGATGCCTAAAGATGACTTTTATCTTCTCCCATTTTCTTGTTTCTCTATTTTCAAATTTACAGCATATATTAAATGTATGAAATATATTATTTAGTTGGTGTTCCATTTGAAGAACATCTAAAGAAAGGATATATTTTCTGATGCTCTCTAGTGACTTGCTACAGGACAGAGTTACCGAGATTCTTTTGAGAAATTGTGACCAGTGGGATACAGTGGGTCGATTGTGGCGACAACTACTCACCGATGACGTTCGCTAGTGCCAGTCGCGCCATATCATGAAATGGTAGAAGTTATCATTCATGGGCTCGCTAATGAATCGGGTCCCAGTGGCTGAATGGTATACGAGCCAGTTTGCCTTGTAACAGGAGGGTCCTGGGTTCGAACTGTGGTGGTGGACGCATACTGCCTATGAGTCCCGGAAAACTAAGATTAAACAGCTGACCGGTACTTCCCGACGGTTTTCAATGGCTCTCTAACTGATATCAGCCAGTCGTCAAACTCGATGAACAAATCTAATCCTTACAAATCAACTGTTGGGAATATAAGACAGATTCAGAGAAGAAAATTTTCTTTATCGACGAAATCATCTTCAGAGGCTGTACAGTCGTATTTAAACTTACAAAAATATATAGTGGTCTATTATTGAGTAATAGGGGGGGATGACATAATTGATATAATTACTCAGAAGTGGCTTTAGAAGTGAAAATCAAAAGTTCTAAATTACGTGGTACTCAACGGCACAAAGATAGAAATTTGATAAGGTTAAAATTACTACTGAGTGAGAATAAAGGTAGGTGAGTGTCCAGTTTAACAAGTGGGAAGACGGTGCAAAATGTACAGAAGCAGCATATGAGAGTGATAATAGTGTGAATTAATTATTAGAGCAAAAGCAACTAAAAGTAAAATTAAAAAAGAAAAATTCAAATTTTTTTTTACAGGGAACGACTAGTGAAGAGGTTAAGACCAAGGTAGAATAAGGGAATGGAAAAGCATTTTCTGTATTCAGAGTTCGGTGTTGTATTAACGAATTACCAGCGCCTCCGCCGTACACAAAAGACGAAACCTGACGCCCTTTGTACTATTTGGCCTCACTTTGTAGATGATCTTGAAAGACGACTTTGTTGGAGCTACGTGGCCTGAATTCATCAAATGCTCGAGAATTGAGTTAGTAATTTTCTTGCATTGTACAGCCTCTGAAGATGATTTCGTCGATAAAGAAAATTTTCTTCGTTGAATCTGTCTTCATGACTCAATTGGTATTTTCGGAGTTAAAATATATATTTTTATCAAATCATTATGGTTCTCCTAAATTTATATCAATCTTTGTTTCATAATATTTGCTAATCTCAGTAAAATGTAAGCTGCTCAAGCAATAAAACCATTGTTCATATTCCTCTGTGCATTGATTATCGTCATGTTCATTTTGAAATCCATTCAATGTCATGTAAAATCCTTTAATTTTTATTTTCTATAATTTATTTACTTTAATTAACTATTCTCCAGTTTTTCTCAATAATATATTTATAAATTCTATTTTCATATATTTTAATTTTAGCTTGCACGAGAGTATATCCTACATCTTGCTGAATTATTAAATGAACCGGGAAATTCAAAAGTTAATCAACGCAAAAACAATTTCAATTACCCGCCATCAATAAATACCATCAATTTAAACAATACCATACAACAATATTCAAACCAGACATTTTTCCAGTCAAATTTTCACAATGATTTGAATCAGTTAATAAATAATGAATAGAAAATTTTTGTGAAATATTTTTTATACAATATAACTGTACAAATTTCAAACCTTATTTTTCGAATAAGCTAACTCAGTTGAATCAAACAAAACGTGGAAATAAACTGGTTGATTTTCTTGTTCAGCCTACTCATGCGCTATTGTGAATAATTATTTTTGCTACAGTTCATTGTTCAACCATTTATTTTAGTATACTACCTATTTATACTATTTTAAATAAAAATTTTAGAAAGTATTCTTCAGGTTTCCCAGTGTTAGATTACATTTTTAGGTGATGAAGTGATAGACAATAGTTTAGGGCAAATAAAATAGGTACATAGATATCCGTCTCATACATAAAATATAAAGTTTATTAAAATGCCCATTAAAATTTTCAAAAGAATGGATACTGATCAAAGAGTACTCTTTTCGATAACTTCATCATCAGACTATACAGTTATATATACATCCATTATAGTGAATGAATGAATTAATGTTATGAACAACATTAATGCAATTGGTGGATGGTGGCTAGCAGTGGAATCCAGGATGCACACTTCGTCCTATTTGGGACTCGTTAGCTGGATGTACCTGTATTTCTCAGTGAGTGATGATGTTCCCATCACCGAGGCTCTAACCTAGTGCCCATAGTTTCAAACGCCAGTGGATAACGCTTTGGTGTTTGAAACTATGGGCACTGGGTTAGAGCCTCGGTGGTGGGAACATCATCATCACTCACTGAGAAATGCAGGTACATCCAGCTGACGAGTCCAAAATAGGACGAAGTGTGCATCCTGGATTCCACTGCTAGCCACCATCCACCAATTGTATACTAGTTAAATGCCCAGACATCGTCGAAGCATCTGCCCAAGAAGCCGACATGTCAACCTGAGACCGAGCACTTCGGTCCAATCAATCGACGGGAAAATCAAAAATTCAATTCAATAACATTAATGCTGTTTAAATAACATCGAATCAATAATATTGATAGATTACAGCTCAACAGCATCCTGAGAACAGCTAGTGCTCTGTTTTCAAAAGAAGCAAGTCCAGCCCCTACTACTTCCCTGGCCTGATACGAATTTAAAACAAGCAACAAAAAGGTCAATATAGCAGGATTTGATGAATTCGTCAAATTTCGGTAGAATTATTCCTCAGTTGAAAACTCTAAACACACGGATACATATACCTTTCAAATTACATTGGGTGATATAAGACTGATAAGTAAACCAAAAACATTCAGAAAATTAAAACAATTAGTCCCTTTGATAAATTTGAATAAGGCATTAAGAAGACAAATTTCGCGAGATGATATCATTTCGTAGTTTCTTTACAACCGCTTTACAACTAACATGGTTAACAATGATAAAATAAAGTTCATGAAAATTACTCAGTTAAATAAAAACAAAAGTACATACTAATGACCAATCATATTAAGATAGGTCATGCAGTCCAGGGTAGGCGAAGATTGAAGTCTATTGATTTTTGTACACACAGTTTAGGCTGTATGTGATTAATCCAAAGTGCTTCCATCACCTTCAATAACCTTGAATTAGAGTTATGTGAAATAATTGTGAAACAGTCATTAATATTTATTTTGTGACCAGACATTAATAAGTGTTTTGCAATGGATGATGCTGGATTTCTACTAAGATTAATCGCGTTAGGATTTTCGATATGATTTACTAGCCATTTTGGAACATGTTCTTTTCGACGACATTGGAACATTCTGTTAGTTCTACCTATATAGGTGTCACCGCAGCTGCAGGTGAACTTGTAGATACAGTTTGAAGTAGAGTCCACAGAATTTCGTCCTTTAATCGTAGGTACAGGGATCGAAAATGTTCGGCAAGTGAGAAAAAGAGATGCGGCGTAGAATGTGCGTTTGATGGCTGACCGAAGTCTTTGAGCTGTCAACTGCATAATCTGGTCGCCCTTGAATGGTAGATTAATAAAGATAGCTTTCTTTGGTACAGAAGCTTTCTTTTCAAGATGTGGTCTATCCTTACCGTGACAATTGATGAAGTTTTCTGGATAACCATTGGCTAGTAAAACTGAATGTGTATGTCGAAGCTCATCCATCAATGTGTCACTCGTACATATTTTTCGAGCCCTTGAGAACAAACATTTCACCAGGGAACGTTTATACTGGATAGGAACAAAACTGGTAAAATGAAGATATTGTCCACTCCACGTCTGTTTACGAAAAATAGAGCGCTGAATCGTTCCATCATTTCTCCTAGTCATAGTAATATCCAGGAAACCGAGTTTGTTATTGGATTCTAGTTCGGAGGTCACTCGAATATTTGGATGGATATGATTAAATAGGGTGATAAAGTTTTCAATAGATTTGCTATTATTACTAATAATAAGAGTATCATCTACATAACGTTTGTACAGCATAAATTCTCCAAGCATACCTTGCATTTGTTTCTCTAATTTCGACATAAATATATCTGCTAACAGGGGCCCCAGAGGGCTACCCATTGCAACACCGTCGATTTGTTTGTATGCTTTTCCTTGGAATGTGAATCGAATATTTTCTGTACACATTAAGATGATGTCTTTGATGTACGTTACAGGAATAGGTAAGTTTATCCCGTTGCTTGTGATATAGTCGCAAATGAAATCAACAGTTTCATGAAGGGGAACATTGGTGAATAAAGATTCTATGTCAATTGAACACATAACCTTTTCCTTAATGTTCAAGGTGTCTAGCATTTCTGTAAGATCAAATGAACTTTTTATAGAATGATTTGATAATGAGTCTCTTACAGGCGTAAGGACCTCTGTAATCCATTTGGCGATTTTATGGTAAGGAGAATTTGACATATCTAAGATGGGTCTCAGTGGGTTCCCAGTTTTGTGGATCTTCGGAAGGCCATAAAGCTGAGGAGTATGTGACCCAATTGCTTTAAGTTGTTTATAAAGTTTTTCATTTATAAAACCATGCATCAGTAAAATTTGAAGCTGACGATTGATCTGCTTTTCCACAAGCAGCACGTTATCAGTAGCATTGTCCACCAGAAATTTGGACTGATCCTTGAGGATATCCTTCATTTTATTTTCATAATCCGATTTGTTCATAATGACAACGCCTTCTCCCTTATCAGGTTTAAGGATCACAAGATTATCTTTTTGGATTAATTCCTTAAGTGCGGCGTGGTGTTCTTTTGATAAACCATTTTTCTGGTATATTCTAGCATTTAGAAATTGATGAGAAATATCCACCAGCTTAACTTTAAACCAGTCTAGATTATCTTTACTAGAAGGAGTTAAATCAGAGATTTGATCATACAGGCTTTCATACTGTGACTGGACTTCCATTTTGTTAATTTTCATGGGAATAGTTTTGTACTTCAAACCATAAGATAATGCTTCCAACTGTAGTTGGGATAGAGTGCATGTAGACAAATTAATTATATGTTTGTGTATATCCTGAGGAAATTCCAAAATATGATTCGAATCTTTCAAAGATTTTGTTAACTTTTGTTCGGTGGAACTAATGGTCTTTTTTATCATATCATTGCAAAATACCGTGAATTTAATTCGACATACTAAAGATAAATTATCCAAAACGGGAGTTAGTCTTTGGTGTGTTTCAATAAATTTCGAAAGTTTGTCATTAATTTCATCAATTTCTAATTCAGCAAGATGTTGGAGGTTGGAAAGTGTAGATTTTGACTTATTCCGACGAAGTGATTTGTAAAATGATATAGGATAATGTTTATTTTCTATGCAGTTGCGATAAAACCTTAATCGTTCTCGCTGAATTACAATTTTACATCTCAGATTTAGAAGACGGTTCAGAAGTCTTATAGTATCTTTAGGGAGCCTTCGTTTGAGAAAATTAAAACATTTAGTCCCTTTGATAAATTTGAATAAGGCTTAAGAAGACAAATTTCGCGAGATGATATCATTTCGGAAGCACTTTGGATTAATCACATACAGCCTAAACTGTGTGTACAAAAATCAATAGACTTCAATCTTCGCCTACCCTGGACTGCATGACCTATCTTAATATGATTGGTCATTAGTATGTACTTTTGTTTTTATTTAACTGAGTAATTTTCATGAACTTTATTTTATCATTGTTAACCATGTTAGTTGTAAAGCGGTTGTAAAGAAACTACGAAATGATATCATCTCGCGAAATTTGTCTTCTTAATGCCTTATTCAAACTACATTGAATTAATCATGCAGAAAGACAGGTTCGAATTCTTTCCAGGTCATGTTCAAATAGATAATGGGAGAGAGAGTGTATGAAAGATCAAATTAAGATAAAATGCATTACGCTTCAATTACACATCACCTAGATAAACAATTAGTCATTAGAAAATATATCAAGTATTGCAAACAGAGTAATATCAATAGGAATAATTATTGTAATAATAACAATAATAATAATAGTGTTGAAGTGAGTTAAGATAATGCTACTGATAAAACATAGTTTTAAATGAATCAAGAATAATATTAATAAGAGGTAGAATAATAAGTAAAACGTATCACCATGGTAGATTCAGAGTCACGACCATGTCCTTTTGTATACAGAGACCTGGTTTATAAATTTGGATTGCACAAGCCTCTGCAATTGCAAGCATCTTCCTGTTTCTTTGTCTGCTGACAACAACACTGAATGACTTCACAGCGTCGACATCATGTCCATAGTCCACAAGATGTTTTGTTACTGAGGTTTTTGGCACTTTGCATTCAACTGTTTTCAACCATTTTGGTAAACACTCAATCATGTGAGTAGACAGACAATCGCCTTTCAGTACGACCTATGTATTTGCTTCCTTTCACAAACACACTCAAAATGTTATGAACAGTTTGAAGTCTGTCGAGGATTGACGACTGATCTTTCCCAGATTGTTGAAGCACTCGCCTAGTGGTGTTAAGGATAATAAGTTTTGCAGCATAATATGTTCTCTTGACAACTTTATCGAGTCTTTGTTTGACTAGTACTTCCTGTACATCATCTCCTTTGAATGGTAGGTAAACTAATATAGACGACAGATTTC